ATAATGCTTACAGAATTGCAAATGGGTTTTTTCAATTGCAGAGCTGTCCCAGGACTTAAAATCTGATTTAACAAAAGCACCCCAAACTTCAATGTTGTAGGTTAGAATTGGTGAAATCATCGAGTCAAAAATTTTACACGCAAGTGATGGCTTAAGACCATTCAAATCCGTGTGCCGCCTTAGGCTGAAGAGCTCATGAAGAGCTTTTTGTCGGAGGTGTTCAAGCGAAAGTGTAAAATTTCCGGAAGATGTGATGCGAGTTCCTAAGTAAGTATAGTTTTGGACAACGTCGATTACTTCATTGCCTATGCGGAAGTTATGTTCACATTTTCGTGTACATCGTTGAAAAACCATTATTTTGGTTTTCTAAGGATTTATTCTAAGCATCCATGAGTTGCAATATGAAGATATTACGTTAAGGCAGTTTTGTAGACCAAGTTTGGATCGCGATAATATTATCAAATCATCTGCGTAAAGGAGAGAGTTGAGTCTGGTGCCATTTGGTAACACGAAAGGGTCTGATAAAACATTGTCCAATGAGAACGCTAGATCGTTAAGGTATAAGTTGAAGAGCAGAGGGCTTAAAATGCAGCCTTGCCGCACTCCTCTTGCGTATTGAAAAGATCGCGTTTTGTTATTTCCAATCCTGACAGAGCAGGTAGACTGCGAGTATAGACTCTTAATTAGACTATAAAACTTTCCTTGGACATTGATTTTAGATAACTTATAGAGAAGCCCATCATGCCCAACTGAATCAAAGGCTTTCCAAAAGTCAACAAAACACGCATATATTTTCTCCTTGTGACACTGGACATATTTGTCTATTAATGTTCGAAGAGTGAGGACATGATCTGCTGTTCTATTATTTGCTAGAAAACCAATTTGAGACTTGTGAAGTATATTATTTAAGTCAACGTACTTTAGAAGTCTCTGATTGAGAATTGAACAAAATAGTTTTCCAATGCAACTAGAAATACAAATTCCACGGTAGTTTGATGGATCGCTTTTAGTACCACATTTAAAAATTGGTGTAATGAGGCCGTCACACCACATTTGGGGCATAGTTCCAAGTCGAGGACCGTGTTAAATAGTTTTAGATAAACAGGCATTTATTCGTTTAAGCTAGATTTGATCATTTCGTTTTTGATTTTGTCTGAAAAAGAAGATTTGTTGTATTTGAGTTTTCCAGCTGCAGTGCGAATTTCACTTTCAGTGATGAGGTAATCCAAGGAGTGAGATCGTGTTGGAATATCCTTTGAATTCTGCAACTCGTCAATAACTGCCTCCTGCTGTTCGTTAAGGGGTTCATTCGAGTGCAGAGATTGAAAGTGGGACATCCATTTTTCTTCAGAAATTGGAGGGGTGTAGGTTTCCTTCATAGTGTCGTCCATTGACTTCAAACAGTTCCAAAAGCCCTTATTGTTCGAATTTTCGACCGTATTTTCAAGTTCACAGATCTTATTGCTATAGTATTCGTTTCTCTTATGTTTCAAAAGGTTTTTATATTGCTGTAAGACGTTGTGATGCTCTTCCCTGAGGGTATTGTTTGGAGGATCTCTGTGTTTTTGATTAGAACGTTTCCGCCGTTCATGTCTTTTATAGCGGCATTCTTTGTCGAACCATTTTTTGTTCAAAGATATTTTGCAACGTCGCTTTTTTGCTGTTTTGATTTTCAAACATCGTTTTGCGGTTGAAATAAGAATATTTTCTACTGCATCAAGGTTCATGTCAACATTTCTCGTGATTGTTGTAGTATTCATAAAATCGTGGATCATTCTTTGAATGTCTTCAGACTGTAATGCATCTCTAAATTTTTGTGACGAATCATTTTCCCAAAAAAACTGTTTTGGAAGAGGAGTCAAAGGATCATATCAGGTAATAATAACAGTACAATTATATTACTGATTATCTGAAAACCCCTCAGTTAAAATTTGGTCAAATAAGTTTCAAATAGTAATGATTAATTATAGTAAGCTGTGTGCGAGTTTATAGGAAAATGTAACGAGCGAATTTTATGTAAACTGAGTAAAAGTGAAATTTTAAGGTTGTAGTCAATCGTTCATGTTGCCATGGAAACTACGAAAACATCAAATTGGGCCTGTCAGTCAAAATCTTTCATCATTATATTTTTCACTTGCCAAGTTTCAGCTTGTGAGCTGCAACCTTTTTCTTGCCATAATTTGGCAAATGACCTATACTCAGAAACTGCCAAAACTGTGTTCAGCCACCTTAATCTCGAATAGCCGCGAAACGGCAAAGTTATTTAGAGGAATGCGTGACAAAATAAATGTCATGGTAGGGGATCAAGCGTCTCCCTTGACGCCCGGCGAGCCTTTGACCTCGCAGACCAGGGCGACCATTTGGTCAGTTTGCGAGCTATGGCTTCCAACAAGCCTCCCGCGCCAGCAACGGAAGAAGCAATAGTGGATTGTGTTGCGTTTTTTTGCGAGGAGGGGAGTTATCAAATGGTAATGTTCGATTAGAGATTTTCGATTGAAGTTTCCAGAGCTATAGCTTTTTGCGACTGCAAAATTGCAATTCTAAAGAGGACTTGTGTACAAATTCTCCTAAGTTAACTAGGCTCCATAACTAGCGGCTTTTCGGAAATTGAGCTGCAAAGTCTGGGCTCGAGAGAGCGGCAGAAACAAAGCCTATGATTTAAGCAGACACAAAAAGATACGAAGGGTTCAGACAAAGTCCATGACATTCACAAATACTTTGTTGAAGTTAGTGTTAGTTTAGTTTGCTCTGTATGCCCCACTTGTCACCATTGTATCGGTTTTTGACGGTTTTGTATGCGGTTTTCGGTTTTGGCCGAATTTTTTTTGCGGTTTTGGATGATTTTTTTCTTCGGTTTTGCGGTTTCTAATATACCCCAATGCCCCCCTCCTGTTCGGGTCTTTCACCATAAAAGATGTTATATTTCGTAGCAAATCTGGTCACATATGGAGTAATCAATGCCGCTGATTCCCGATTTACCATGAAATGTAGGTCTGCCTAACGAGTCGCCCTTTATTCTACCATTCAAAATTCTTAAGTCCGCGCTTCTACAAATTTCCAAGAGTCGTTTTCCATGATTATTCAAATCATTATCAAAACTTTTTCGTTGGGTGGCGCATAACGAAGATTCAGAAAAATCGTTTGTTATTATCTTATTACCTTCTTGACAAACACTGTCCGGGTGTTTGCCTACTCTGGAGTTAAAGTCTCCCAATCAATCAATCAATCAATCATTTATTTTAACACGTAACGTCACAGAGCTAAAAAACTCGTTCAAAATACGAACGTGTATAAATAAAATCTATAATAATTACAGCTGTATAATATTATTCAATTTTAAACACAACTCAATAAATATATACATATAAAAAACTTGGTAATAAAAACATAAAATATAAAAAGCTAAAACCGACTAAAAAGCCACATACTAAAAACGTGACTAGGAAAACTATAATGCTCGTTCTAAAACGGTTAAAGGCTACAATAAGAATCCCATAATAAGAATTGAACCAAGAGAGGAGAATTTCTCGATGTCGCTTTCAAGCTCTTCAAACACTTCAGGTCGAAAGTAGGGAGAATTGTATGGTAGAATGTACGTTCCACAGACATAAATGTCTTTTGTAGTTTTTGTGGAGCGATTACTAATTTTAAACCATAAAAAATTTGGTGATTCTTTTTGCACTGAAATCCAATCGTCAAACTTTAGTTTGTAGAGCAGAGCTAATCCACCCGAGTTACGTCCACATTTTCCTATTTTCAAGGTATCTGTAGTCACAATCTTGTAACCGCGTTTACTTCAACAGTCACTCTTTTCCACTTTTTTGCCTTGCAGAGTCAATGCTATCTGCATACAGTAACAGACAATTACAGGTGCATTTAAGAAAAATAATACGGAAAATGAATCTGTTCATACACTGTACTTAAAAAATTCCAAACTGCCAAATGAACGTCATTTAACAAGTTTATACATGTCGATCTGCACTATTCACGTTTTGAACTGTTTGTGTAAGAAAACTGCTACCACGATGAGTATGTATATAAAATATTGTCAAAAACAAAAGGAACATTCCCTGTGCTTTCTGTTTTTCTTTTTTTTGTTTGTTGTTGAAATGATTTAAAATCATATATGACAGAACAAAATCCTAGCGTCATTCTTGATGAAGTTTGAAGAAACGCTTAGTCATATGCAAGATCAAGAGGTTGAAACAAAATGTTCAAAATTTTTCACCGCACTCAGATTAGCAAATTCAGATCAAGATCGCGTGTGCTTACCTTTGCATTCCAGATAAAAACACGGGAGGAAAGCTCCGAAATACAGGAACACCACAAGGCACTTCATCTTCAAGTTTAGGCACGAACTCAATCAGCATCTACGGAACACAAACTGGCTATTGCAACCACGTCAGTTCTCTTAATAACAAACGCTGCTGCCAGCGCAACTGGAAAAACAAGCGAAATATTGATCAACTTCCACGGACAAGAGATATATTTAAGCTGAAGCATAATTATATCGTCACGTTTCTAATTTTGTTTTAAGCCTGTATTATAATTAATATTATGCCGCAAAGGATAGGCATTTTTTGAATTTTATAATGTGCCATTCTTTACCTTAAGATTTTCCAAACTTCTATTCACACGATTCACAGGTTTTGGTATCTACTAATTGCCTGACACAGCATCGCCATAGAACTGAAATGTACACTTACGGTTATGTAACAGCCGTAAACAACAATGACATAGCAGATTTGCTGACACAAGATCAGCGGTTATAAAGATCCTGTTACGGCCGCATTCCACGTCAATATGTTTAGCGTTTAGTTCTTTGTATAGTTGCACATTCCTTTCACATTCTTTTCAGTTATCGCTATTCATATTCTTTTAGATTTCTCTGCATAACTTTCTTTGTTCTTAGATCATTTTGTAAGTTTCATCGTTTATTCTCAGCGCCGTAGCTAGTATGAGGCCAACCGAGGCACTCGCCTCGGTAAAATTTTGACGAATTTCGCCGATCATTTCTATGTTACATAAGCGATCATCGGATATTTTTAACGCATCATGATATTACAAAGAATTCAGCAATTCAGTCAATATACTATGAAAAAATTACCCTATCATCGATCTCAAGGGGCTACGTACGTTAACTCAAATTTTTTTTGAACAAATACTGATCAAAACCATTGGCGAGGTTAACGGTCACCCAGATTATGTAGCTTGTTTCTGATTATTGCTTTTTTTAAGTGGAATTTACAAATTCCACTTAAATTAACTCGAAAAAAAGTTACCGAAAGGTCCAGAAAACGCTGCAAATCGCATTTCCGAGAGACTAAAGCTCAAAGTTTCTCGGGGGGGGCATGTCCCCGAACCCCCCTAGCAACCCCCGCCTGCCTCGGTTGGCCGTTTGGTCTGGCTACGGCACTGATTCTAATTCATTTCGCTTTAGCGTTCACGGCAACATCATTGTAGTTTTTTCGTTCAGTCTTGTTAGCCATCGTACCTTTTTTCCGTTCAACTTTCTAGTCACTCAACGTTTGTAAGTATTTTCGCTTAGTGCCTTTCCGTTTCCTGTAGTTTCGTCGTTTCATAGCTGTAATTTGTATTCCTTAGTAATTTGTATTTTTTGTTTCGCTTTTAGCAACCGTAATCGTATTTCGTTATAACTGTAATAAAGACGAGTTAGAACCGTGGACCATCCTTGGATTATTCGCTATAATAGATCCTGTTTACTAAGTTACGTTGTTACCAGGTTACTTTCACGCGATGGCTTGTAACCGAAATACTAAATCTCTAAGTAAAACATTTTGATTTGAAAGCAGACGGACACTTACCAACTGGCAGATGGGATGAAAAATGCTGTCACGGAGAAAATTTTAAAAAAGACCTTTTTTTGGCCTACGCAACACAAGTCCAGCGGAGTGTTAGCGGCGCATTGTTGTAACAAACATGTCATGTGCTGTAGCCACCATATTGGAAAACGAGAAGACACTGGGGACGAAGGCTGCGCCAAAAAAATGATAGTATATTCAGCGGCGTTTTAAACAAACATGTTTCAGATCATATAAAACCTACTATAATATAAATTACAATGATTTCCAAGATCACAACAGCAGGGTTGCTTCGATTCATTGGTGTGTTTATGTTTTAGCCTTGATTTTAGTCAATTTTTCAATCTGTTGCCGATCTTGTTGTTTCCCATGATGTTTTGTTCGCTGAAGTAACAATACCCAGGCCAATAATAATATCTTTTCTTATTTACAATTTACATTGGGGTGAATCTAACAGGTATTATAACAGTTTGAATTCTTTTTTCAATAAAATACTAATAAGGTAAATTAGGAGCCGTTTTTATCGAGTCATCAGTAGGCAAGGATGAGAAAAGAAAGAACAACGCTATCTTTTACTCTTGATTATTTTGCAGATTCAATGTTTAAAGGTATTTATCACGGGAAGAAGGCTCATGAAGGTTAGGTTTTGTAATGAAGTTATGCACTGTTCTAGTAATTAAGAAAATCATGTTATTTTAAAAACTAATATTTTATATTTTGATAAAAATGTAGATGACTTTGTAGAGGTTCTAAAGAGAGCAACTGATATAGGTGTGCAAAAGGTAATGTGTGTATAATAATAATAATAATAGTAATAATAATAATAATAATAAAAGTAATGGTAAAGGTGATGATGATGATGATGAAGATCGATAAAGTGAAGGTAATGTGAGCTGCAGAAATACAAAAATTACATGAAGATATGATCGTCACAGTCCTCTTCAAAATTTATAAGAGATAGCAAATCAAGCACCTCCCTCCCCCCAATAATACTAATTGGGGATTTCGAATGGGATTCGAATGGAACTCATGGTCTCTGCAATATCAAAATTACAAAAAAATGCAGTGCTCTACCAACTGAGTTATGGGGAACCTCGTCATTGGGAGCAGGTCAGTTTGTTGAGTTCATCTTTAACTTTGAAAGGAATGAAACAATGAATGAAGATGGTGATGCGACCTCAGAAATGCAAACTAATTTAAATGAAGATAGTAATCATTGCAGTTGCACGCTTGAAAAACCATCACCGTCATTTTGTGTTATATTCTTTAAATATGGTTTCAAAAAGAACTTTTTGCTGAATAAATAGTTGTCCATCTCAATATGGGGGCTTTTTAAAACTTTCTGTCCGTATTCAGATGAAGAGTTTTGCACTAAGTGTATGGAAAAAACTAAATTTTAACATTTAAAAATTGACACCATACATTGATAATTAACTTAAAACTGCCGTGGAACAAAATATTAAAAGAAATAAAAAGGATAAGCCCCATCCAACCAAACATCTATAACATCCAATAAGCCTGTCCATGGAAATACTCAGAAAACAATTATTTTAAGTATTCATTCAGTAAAAAACTGTACTCCCCAATTTGTTGCCAAAGCTGTCAGAAATTGACGACTAGCCTTGATCTTTTCTTGTCTACTGAATTGCAGGCAAGATGGTGGCGAGGAAAGGCTCCGTGAGACACGAAGTTTTTCTTGTTGTTCTTCTAGTTAGCCTGAGAAGTCTAACCAGCCCATATATACTTACTGTTATCCAACGCGATGGTAAATCTGCAGGAAAGCCGTACCCCCGAATGTTTTACAAATCACAACCATTTTTGGGGCATTATTGTTCGTGGCAATGTCGGTGTGAACTACAGGCTCTTTGAACCATAGCCTTATCGTGTTCTACAGCAACTCATGCGCTATTTTCCAACTAAGTAGGCCGAAATTACAAGGTTTAATCCATCCAATCCATTCAACGTCCACCGCAAACTCTAGGACTTGTCGTCATGATATTGAAGGACAACTAAACATCAGTTTGACTCGACCAAACGCTCGGTCAACAAGAAAGACGAACTATAAGTTCTCAGAGTTCTTGCCTTACATGCGGATTTGCTGGCTATTACCGAGACATGGCTAACTACGGAAATCAATTAGCAGTTGCGAGATTCTGCCCAACATGGATTTTGGCATTAATAGGAGAGATTTTTGACTAGCGTCCCGTGCAGGAGGCGTCCTTTTAGCAGTCCGTAATACTATTCCGAGCCTTAAAAGACCTGATATGGAAACTTCCGCTGAAATTCTTAACTGTCGGAAGCTTCGTCCATCGTATAAGAAAAAGATCTTAATGGCAGTATTCTACCGCCCTCCATCCTCTAACTGTTCATACTTGACTGAGTTCACAAAATGTCTCCGCGAAGGTTCCAGGGCGAAATTGGATCAACTCTTCATTGTTGGTGATTTTAACCTCCCAAATATTGACTGGTCCATTAGGATCTATTCCACCGATAGCGACATTTATAACCTCTTCACCAAGTCAATCAAGGATTACTTTGTCTGGCAAGTTGTCGATTTTCCAACGCGACAGGAAAATTCATTGGATTTGGTGCTCACAAACATTCCCGATAAGATTGTTAACATCGTAGGATTTTACGATATTTTGGAGTCTGACCATTAATTCATTAAATTTTGCACTGACGTTCGAATCGGAAGAAATCCCCAAGTCAAACGACAAGTATATTATTCCTAGAAAGCTGGCTTGTCAGGCCTCAAAAGTGCACTCAGTTTAATTGACTGGGATTTACGGTTTGTGGAAAACGATATAAACGCTTTGCTTCCCAACCTGTCTCATGTAATTCTCACGGCTGTTGACCAACACATTCCAAAACGCAAAGCGCAAAATGCAAATGAGCATACCTGGATCGATCACGAATTTTTTCAATTAATTAAAGTCAAAAACAAGGTGAGAACTGCAGTAAAAAAGTGGTAGAGCGATGACCAAAAGAAGTTCAGACAAATAAGACGCGAGGTTAAAGCACTTATCAACGGCCAACGTTTTGTATCTAACCACAAAAACAAAGCAGACTTATCAAACTGCTTTTTTCAATCAGCCTTTTCCGCAAACGATGGCACAATGGATTCCGCCTGGAGACTACTGCTATACTCGCCGATCACTCAAGCGAACTTATTTTATTATCAGACAGAAGTGGCAAAAGTTTTGAATGACATCGATCTTGCCAAAGCGCCTGGTCCGGACAACATTGGAGGTCGATTGCTAAAGGAAACGGCGCCCGAAATTTCCGTCTCTCTCTGCCGTCTGTTCAACCTTTCGCTATCACGGGGTGAATTCCCAGATCAGGGGAAACTGGCAAATGTTTGTCCTGTTTTCAAAAAAGATGACCCAGCGCTAGCCAAAAAGTATTGTCAAATTTCTTCATTATCTATCTCGTCCAAATGCTTTGAAAGATGTGTTTTCAATCATTGTTATCCGCACATTTTGCCTCGGCTATGTCACCTGCAACACGGATTTCTCAGAGGAAGGTCCACTATCACTCAGCTTGCTCAAGTCAATCACGAAGTCATTAATGCCTTCGCTGAAGGCAAAGAGATTGATGTGGTTTATTTAGACTTTGCCAAAGCGTTCGACAAAGTCCCCTACTCAACCGTGATCAACAAGTTGTCTCGCTTTTGTATATTAGGCCAGTTGAAACAATGGTTCCAGAGCTATCTCTCCAACAGATCTCAGCGAGTAGCGCTAAGGGTACCTATTTCAACTTGCTTCAACTTACTTTTGATGTAGCTCAAGGTTCCCTATTGGGCCCTTTACTGTTTCCCGCCTATATCGACGATATTCCACGATGCACCCAACATGACGACTCCA